TCTGTTATGCAACCAAAGACTGGTGGGTTGGGTTTCTGTCATTCTTCCACTCCAGGCTATTGAACTTGTTGAGTAGAAGCTTCTTCCTTTTGAAAATATTCCCAAAGATCTCCATATTCCATGTTCTCAGCTTCTCAGTAATGCCCCGCAAGGAAGGGAGAAAATCGTGACTGTTTCCCCATGAATCAAAGAGAAATTCTCATGGGCAAGCCATGAGGCCAAAAACTAGAATCTCCTCGCCACATTATTCTTGTCCATAGGGCCCTTAATGCAAGTAAGGATAGGCTCGTGGTCAGATATCAGGTGATAGTTTGTGGTCTCACGAAACTTTCTTTGCCAAGCCTCATTGCAGAGGCTCCTGTCAAGCCTCTCTTTGAGAGTTAATTTGCTCTTGAACCAAGTGAAGCTGGTACTGAGAATCCCAATTCCAATAGACCACTCTTATTAATGCAATTGTTGAAGGCTCTAGCTCTTGCAGGATTGAAACTCGCTCCTCCCTGCTTTTGTGAAGGTTTCGTAATGGAGTTAAAATCTCCAAAGAGCATCCAAGATAACTTGATCTGCCTGCTCAAACTGTTGATAGCTTCCACAGATGGGTTCTTTCGAATTTATTGGGATTGGCATAAACAACAGTGAAGTAGCAGACCGGGTTCCCTTCCACTGAACACTTGAGATGGATGAACTATCTCTGTGTGTCCATAACTTCAAGCACAAAGTCCTCTTTATTGTAGAGGATTCAGATACCACCGCTGAAGCCAATCGCATCAGAAACTTCCCAGGAGTCGTATCCAAGTGATTCAATGACGTCATTAGCTTCCTTCCCACTAATCCTTAGTTCCACAATGCACACAATACTCGATTTGAAAGTAGAGTTATAAAACTCAAAAGTTGATCTAAACTTTGGGTGTCTTACAACATCCAGCTCTCCCCGTTTCCCTCTTTCTCCTCCTTTTGTATATCTCTAACTCTCTAATCTTGTTTTTTTTTTGTTGCTTCTATGGTTGTAGAGAATTCTCTAAAGAAGTGGTGAATGATGGTGGAGAAAAGAGGAGATGAGATGAGAAAAAAACCAAAATGAAAGTGATAACGGTGGAGAATATCTGCCCCATTTCATTCCTACAACCTACCTTATTGAAATGCTTAATAGCCAGGCAACAACTTGTAGCAACCCAACAACCCACGTCTTAAGTGCGGTCCAACAACTCAAGCATATACTATTGTCTATTAGAACTAACCACAAAAGCTAACAAGAGCTAAAACTTATTGAATCACACAATATTAACACAAGGGGCTTTGGAGACTAAAAAAAGAGACAACCTAATGATGCCACAACTCCTCCCACTAGGGGTAAACACGCACACCCTTGGAATCACAAGTAAGGCAACTCACTATCTTTTAACATATTATTTTAATAATTATATTCTTACATAATACAATAAGTAATTAAATGGACAAATGATTGATATAAATAACCAATACAAGAACGATTGAAAAAAGAAAACCCACTAAGGGGTCGGTTACTGTACACTGACTACTTTTACTATACATATAGACTCATCCGTACTCTTATAACTCGGATAGGTCTCGGGTGTGGGAGGGTGCAGGGTGTTACTCTTTTGTTCCCAATGAAATCTTGGTGGCTCATTTGCTTTTGAATTGTGGTTTGCCTTCTAGTTAGTTATTCTCTCCTTCCCCCTTGCACACATTGATCGCTTGGGGACAGAGAGAACGACACTGCTATTTTGAGTCTGCTTTTTGCTTGTTACTACTATAAACCTACATCATTTTTTAGCCCAAGCCCGCTGCTAACTATCACACCAATGACCTAAATCCATCGGAAAATGCCAAGCCAATGACATAAACCATTGCCCTCCTATATATGGGCTCTTAAACTTTCAAGTTAAATAGCCTCTTTGCTATGCTCCAACAAATTCATTATATATGGTCCTCTCTCTAAAGCCTTATCTCTCTAGAGATCCCTATCTATTTTACATACATCATTCATATAATACACTAGCTTGAACGTCATAGTGTATATAACTGGGCCTACCCTCGTCTTTCTAGATGTTTCTTCCACAGTTAAGGAGATCAAACGAAGGAGTCCAAATTAGAACCCTAAATATTATTATTATTGATGAAAGTTAACTGTATTGGTCTAAACACTCTCTAAACGCAAACAATTTGATTGTTATAATGATTACATTTTTTATCTAATTTCTTAGATTTTCTCCTTCTATTTCTCGCTGACTAAACAAACTAGTGTCATTAAACCATGACTCAGTTGGTTCGTTCGGAAAAAAGTAAATTCAAACCCAAATCCAATCTAGGTAGCCTTATAATGGCATAGCTTTTATGGGCTCAGTCATGATTCATTTGAGCGGATAATCGTACAAATCGAAAAAAACTAAATTGTCTATTTATGAGATGTCTTGTGTTTATGAGATATTTTTCAATTGAATAAAATAAGACGTCGTCAGTAGAATTTGAACTCGGGTCCCTTGACTGAAGTATATGACTTTAAAAACTACTCTTCCAGAAATTAATATTATTTTTTAATTGTAGAAAGTAAAATCTTATATTAGTATTAATTTTCAGGATTATAAGAAGCCATCATATTTTCTTACAAATTGTTATCGTCTATTATATCCGTCATATCATGATTTTACCATTATGGTAAGACTAATTGTTCATCATATCATGATTTAATAGTCATATGATGCCATCAAATTATTTTTTCACACATAAGGTGAGTGGACGACGTCCTTCTTTTCTTTTGGTGAAGCCTGCTTGAGGGGAGGAAATCGTGGTTTGTGCTGGCAGGTGGGTGATGATAGCATTTCGCTTTGGCTGTTTGGCACGATTAACAATTGTTTTATATCAGTTAACCACAAATAAATTTTAAATTCATGTTTATTCAGATCATCTTCCGGTCTGATTTTGATAAGATTCAAACAACCACAATAGAGCTGGCAAAAACAGAATATTCAATATTCCAACTCTTGACACATCCACTAGGAGAGTTTTCAAATTTCACATAATTCATTAATGAGTTATAATAAGTTTCTATTAAGACAAAGTAAAAGAGAAATGAATGAGCAAACTTACCTAATAAAAAAACCTTCTACTAATAAAAAAAAAGACGAGCAAACATACATACAAGTCAAGAAGGGCAAGCAATGGTGAAGGTAAAGGGCAAAGCCACTTTTGCTTTTCCTACAAAACAGAGAAAATGAACGTTTTTCCTAAGTAGTGAGAGATGGAAGCCCAAAGAAATACACTTGCACGAGAGAGAGAGAGAGAGCGAGCGAGAGAGAGAGAGAGAGAGAGAGAGAGAGAGAAAGAAAGAAAGAATGGCAATTGAAAAGAATTCACATGGAAGGAAAGCTGCTAACATCTCATCCTCCGCCATTTTACCATTCCCCTTAAAACACAATTATCAATCTTTGTTTTAGAGTTGTCGTTTCTTCCTTCATATGTGGTTTCTTCTTTTCTCTCTCTACATCTCTTTCAATTACACTTTTTAAACCCGCCCCTGCTTCGTGATCTGGGAGGAGGGTATTGAGAAGGGGTGGGGGAACGATTTCGGAAATATGATATTTTTTTCCTGAGCTGAATTCCGACGTGGATTCAGATCTGAGAGATGGAGGAAAAGAGTACGTTAAGTCAAGGGAGCGTCTTTAGATCTCTGCTCGCCATTGTTCAGTGGTGGTGTTTCAATGTTACCGTGATTATCATGAACAAATGGATCTTTCAGGTTCATCTCTCTCTACTTCTTCGCCCTCTTCCTGAAGTTTCTTCTTTTTGGGTTATGGCTTGGATTTTTGTTTCTAATTCTTGGTGTCCAATTCCACATATTTACCTTGATCATTGAGTTACTCTTTACTGTTCTGTATTTGCCAACTTCTCATAATTGGGAATTTTTATTGTCTATGCATGCCTCATAATGCTGGAGCCCTTTTGCCTAATTTCCAGTTCTAGGATCGTGATTGCCCTTTGCAAGCTCTCTCCAAAGCTATACGAATTGTTTATTCTGTGCGTGAGGGCATTTCCTGACTTGCGACATATGTTGCTCTACCTACTCTTGTATGATGCAACAGAAGGGCTAGTAGGTGGAATATTATTAACAGACAAAAATCTCAGCTTTGGTGGTTGTAACTGTTTTAGTTTATGGTATATCAAATTACCTATTCAGGAGTTTGGTAAATCGAAAAGGAACCAGGCTTGGCATAATGCAGACTGGTTAGTAATCGGATCTGCACTTGAGGAATATTCGTTGTACTCGTGATTTGGTTCATATCTCCTAGTAGCAGATGCCAGATGTTTGACATCTTTTTTTTTTTTTTTTTTTTTGATGGGCATCTTTAAGTTCAAAGAATCAGGGGTTTATGTTTCTTAAAGTACATGATTTGCTTTACTTTATGATTTTTAATATTCGGTTATGGTTTTCATAATAATTCATAATATATAGTGTGAAAGACGCTTGGTTCTTCGAGGAATTATCTTTTTATCCTTCCGAGGACATTCCTTTTTCTGTCCTCTTATCTAGGAAAGGGGGTTTTGGATGAGATTCTGAGTTATCAACTGATCATGTTGAATCTAAAATTGGGTTTTGTTTGACAGAAATTGAATTTCAAGTTCCCGCTATCTGTATCTTGTGTCCACTTTGTATGCTCATCCATTGGAGCATTTATCGCAATCAAGGTGCTAAAGATCAAACCTCTTATAGTGGTCGACCCTGATGATCGTTGGAAAAGAATATTCCCCATGTCATTTGTGTTCTGCATAAACATTGTGCTGGGAAATGTGAGCTTGCGATATATCCCAGTTTCATTTATGCAGACAATAAAGTCGTTTACTCCTGCAACTACAGGTTTGAACATAAAAAAATATTTTTATCAAACTTTCTTATCAACCTATATATTGTTGTTCTTTGTACGGTTTCATGTCGGTGTGCTTACCTTTGTGCGACTACATCAGTTGTTTTGCAGTGGTTGGTTTGGATGAAGTACTTTGATTGGCGCATTTGGGCTTCATTGGTGCCTATTGTTGGAGGAATACTCTTGACATCGGTGACAGAGCTCAGTTTCAATGCTTTCGGATTTTCTGCTGCCCTGCTTGGCTGCTTGGCAACTTCCACAAAGACTATCCTTGCAGAGTCCTTACTGCATGGGTACAAATTTGACAGGTACTTTCCCACATGTTTCTGAAACTATCTGGGTTTTTTTTGAACCGCCTGGAACATGGAGTGCATTATTTAGATGTGAAATGGCATGTACTGTTCTTGAATCACCTTCAGCTGTTGCTATCTGTACTATGTCCAGGCCTGTTCTAAAAATATTGTTTTGTCTAAACCTTAAGGGGTTTGCATGTATAAATAATGGAATTTGAATGAGTAGATTGGGATCCATGATAGAGTTTAAAAATGTTGTTGTTTGGATCGTTGATTTGACAGAAGTATTTTTACAGTGTGTTCCATAATTTAGTTTATATCTACCCAAAATGGGTAGAATTAAGCAATCATTACCTCCCAGAAGAGATTTGAGACATATGAGATTTGCTAGTTCACTCAATTGTGGAGAAGACAATAACTCTAAAGGAAAAGAAAAGAACTTATGTCATACCATCACTTGCTAGATAACTTGAAAAAGGAGAAAAAAAAAAACATATGCTCATTCGTTTCTTCCTATCCTTTCTTTTTACCTGCAAGTACTATATGCTCAATATTGTGTATCGTGGATGTAATTACTAATTAGTGAAGTACACACAGTGTACAGTAGCCTTCTATATATAGGCAACTAATGCGGTTCTCGCTAGTATGTATGTCCTATGAGGTTATTATCAAAATCAAAATTCTTACTTTTACTCATTGCTTTTTGGTTGTTATGTTTTTGTTAGCATAAACACGGTGTACTACATGGCTCCTTTGGCTACCATGATACTTGGTGTGCCAGCAATGCTACTAGAAGGCAATGGGGTTCTGGAATGGTTTCATATGCACGAGACTATCTACTCTTCCCTTTTTATCATACTCCTATCTGGTGTACTTGCCTTCTGCCTCAACTTTTCGATCTTCTACGTGATTCATTCAACAACAGCTGTCACCTTCAATGTTGCCGGGAACCTCAAGGTACAAAAAGGAAAACTCGGTATCCTCCACCAGTTTCTGATTTTATGCATATCATATTCATCTAGGGAGTGGATGTTTTGGAGACAAAAATGAACTTAGAAGTTCAAGCAAACATAGTTCTTCGGTCTAACTTTCTAAAACAAACTGTTGATGCTGGACACCCCCATGAATAATTAAAATCTAAAAGTCACATCACTAGTAAAATTCCAGTTCTTTTCCCTTTGGAAAATTGGAAGTTATACCCATATAATAGTTAGTTCCCAAAGCCCGCCTAAACCCTAGAATAGTGTCCTTGATCTCTACTATTTCATGCCTGATCGATTTCACGTTTGTTATCAATGACGGGAATCTTTTTTTTTTTTTCTACAGGTTGCAGTTGCCGTGCTGATTTCATGGCTGATATTCAGGAACCCAATCTCAGCGATGAATGCTGTGGGATGTGCTATCACGCTCGGTGGATGTAGTTTCTATGGATATGTAAGCCATTTGTTGTCACAACAGCCAGCCCCTCAAGGAACTCTGTGGACGCCCAAGACTGCAAGAAGCCGAATGGAGTTACTGCCTCTTGTAAATGATAAATTAGATGATAAGGTCTGAATTAGTGAAATGATTCTCCTGAGGAGAGGGGAGCTTTACATGATGATGATGATGATGCTCTTTTGCAGTTGAGGCAACATAGGGAGGAGTAATTTGTACTAATGTACAAGGAACTGATGAAATTTTGGGAAATTATTTAAATGTGTTGTAGTGAACTTGATTGATTAACCATACAAGTTCGATACGAGTTTACTTTTGCTTGCTCAGGAATATGAAACGTGTTTTTCCAGCGGCCTACATGTATTATCAGTCGATTTCCCGTGTCTAGCTAGCTAGTAGTGGCAGGAGGACTAAGATCCCCAAGAGAATTTATCTTTGTTCTTGAGAATGGAAAAAGAAAGCTGGGCTAGCTTAGTTCCGCCATTTCGTATTAATCTCCATGATCTTGAAGAAAGTTACACGTGAGAAAGACAATCTTAAGACAAGATTCCATCAATTATATAGTACCAACATTAAAAATATTTCACAAATGTGTTGTCTTTTCTAAGACATCTTGAATCTGATTGAGGCACCAAGTCTAAGATGGAAGGCGGTAATCAATATATACGAGCCAACTTGTGGGGACGTGTTGAAGAGTGTTGAAATTATATACTGAATGCACATGAAGATGTTCAGAGAAGAAGCTCATGCTCCAGAGTTCAGCGAAAAATAAAGTTGCATCGATTATAAACAGTGAATAACGAACTTGCCATTGTAATTTTGTCGTTGCTGAATATAAATATCTGGAACCAAACAACGACAAAAGGCGAGGATTCCTTTCCCTTTATGTTCATCCTCCTCGAGCTTTCTTCAGTAAGACATGGTTGCTGACTTGCTGTAGTAGTTATCACGTTAGTCTTACACACTAAAGATTTCAGTTCGATACTTGGTAGTAATATTTTTTTTTCCGAACAACATGTTGATTTTTTTTGTGCATTTTATGTTTGATATTTTTATTTAAATCTACCCACTAATATAAGGAGATTCTGTGGGGAGAGTGGGTTAAAACTGAATTTGGAGGCTTAACCGCATCTCACGGAAGGCTATGTAAGTCTTTTTCACATTATATATTACCTCGGCTACGTGAGTTAAGACTTCAGAGTTACATGATTAGGCATTTGGGTTGGGCTTCCAACTTTTGTTTTTGGGTGAGAATCGGGTAGCTTTTGGGATTGGGCTGTGGTTTATATCTAATTATCTTTTTCAATTAGATTTCTATTTTGTCGGAAGCCTAAATCATCTTCTCTGCAACACATAATACAACAACGAGAATGAATAATTTGAGTCTCATATAATGTGGTTTCTGATTCCGACTCAAGTCATAATTGCTTAAAGCAGTGAGATTGATATATAACTCATAGCCACATAAAAATCGGGTAGAAAATCAAAATCATGTCCATATCCGTTCGGGTTTAGGGTGTTTACGGTTATCCGTGGGTAATAATTTCTCTTTATAAATCCAATCAACATGTTAATATTCATACGTACTCACATTATATAAGTGAAAAAGTATGACATTAATTCACTAGAGCGAAGAAAATTAATTTCAAACAAAAATTATGTGAAAATATTATATTTGTATGCTAAATATAAACTATGTTGAGAAACATAGTGATAATTTCTATGCTAAATACATATGCATGTGTATAATCGGGCGGGTTCGAGTTGGATAGTGAGAAACCCGTGTCCACCCATTATCCACGATATTTCGTTTCGGGTTTTACCCGTACCCACAGAAATGCTTCGGGTTCGAGAATTACCCTACACAATTAGTGCGTATTTTTATCATACCTAAACACCATGAAGACAAAAAATTACAGATAAACTCATAATAATATTAAATATTTAATACATATTAAATTATATTGTTATGAGTTTCAACCAAAATAATACATTATCATAATGGTGACAAAATAGGATTAGGATTGCGTGGGGATCAATTCCATATATTAGTGAGAGGATTTATAATTGATCATATCTCATTTGTTTTATATTGGATTTTAATTTTTTTATTTTGAAAATTCCAATTGGTTAAACTATAGAAGATGATATCCATTTTGATATATGTTTTGGAAAAAATATTTTTTCTCTAAGAGAATTGGCCCTTATGGTAATTCATTTATTTATTTATTTTTAATCCATATGTGATCAAGTTTGTAAGTAATATTCAGTCAATTTAAGAATCATCCTCAATAAACCTTATATTTCTCTTCTAAATAATGAATCTCAATCATCAGCATTTTTCATATTTGAGACCCAATTCGAATGGTAGATACTACCAATCAATTACTAAAGCTTTTAATATTTAAGTTCCAACTTGAGTTTTGGATACTATAAAATATAATTTTGTTTTCTTTGGTCATCAAGAATTCTGATTTTTAGAGTTAATGATGAAAAGCTACTGAAAATAGTGGGAGAATGATACCTCCTCTTCCTAATGACTCATTAAATGAAGGAATGCATTTTTTCCTTTTGACAAAAAAAAAACAACATCATAAATCCCATAAATGGGTTAATAGTTTCGAAGATAATCAATAATGGAAAAAATTAACCTCCAACAACATTTTTTTAGTAAAATTATGTAAATTGTCATGTAAATTACATTGCATATATCATATATGATCATGTTTTGTGTTTGAATATGCTTCACAAAAATACAAAAGATAAAAGTGAAGATAGTGGAGTCAATAATGAAAATTCTTGATGAATAAACGGATTACTTTGGAATACCTATAATATTGTGACATCAAGTTTAATATGAGTTAATATACTTTGCATAAGACTTATTTTTTGAATTTCAACAAGAATCAACATGGAAGGCAAATGTTGTTAATTCACATGTTGTTTGTTGACATATAAGCATGGCAATAATATAAGGGAAGTGGAGATTACTGAAATTTCAGCTTTAAAGCTTTGTTAATTACGGCAATCATATTGCAATCGGCCAACGGGCCGGGGTACAATCTAGTGTAAAATAGAAAAATGTTTTCAGATTTACCCACGCAAAGCCAATCTCTGCAACAATTTTTCATTTGTTCTGAACATGTATCAATTTTTATTTTTCATTTTGTATTTTAAATTTTTTATTTATTTATAGAATAAAAAATTATTTTTTAATATATCCACGCACGCAAATGCCAATCACCAGGGTTAAATGCACCAAATACTACTTAAGTACTAGTTTTGTTGCTTACTAATCACTTAAGTTTTTTTAGTTGCAATTAAACCACATAACTCGACTTTTGGTTGCACCGTTATATTTTTCATCCTTAAACTTAACGGTGGGTATCAAATTGAAGTTTTTCACCTTAAATTACACCACACCATTTTCTTCCACTTTCTTCCTCCCCACAAAATAATTTTTTTTAATTGGAGGATTGAATAAACCCGATCACAATAACCCTTTGAAATTCTTCTCTTGCTCTGTGGCTGCCGATTCTCTTGTAAAATTATTTATAGAGTTCGAGATGGGGGATTCGGCTGCGAACTTGGTTGAAAAACTGAGTTCTCATAAGGTTAAAAAGTTTACTTTATTTGGAATGAAACCAAAGTTTAATTCAATTATACTTAAAAATTAATAAAAAATGAAACAATTGTAAATTTTGACGAAAACAATAAAGGAGGGCATAAGATAATTAAAGAGAGCGCTAGTAATACCGAAATGAAGATGAAAGAATGTGAGAGAAAATGAAATTGCGTAAATTGATGCGGCAAATTTCAATTTGATACCTACCGCTAAATTAAGGCTGGAAAATATAATGGTGCAACCGGAAATCGGCTTATGTGGTTTAGTTGCAACTAAAAAAACTTATAACTGGTTAATATGCAACAAAACCAATACTAGCCCACATAGTGAAACTGTCACCACACGCCTCCTGCCTCTGTCACAAGGAAGACTCTAGAAGAATCTAGAAGGGTGCGAGTACATGCATTCATCTCTAGATTCATGCTCCAATGTACATGCATCCCCCTTATCTATTATGACGCATTCACCATATTTATTATGATTCGTGTATGGGTATGGGGGGACTTCTAGGTTTGTTCATTTATGACGCCTACATATACTGTATCTAGTGGAGATGATGCATATATAAGCATCTCTCCCTCACTTTTCATTTATCCAGAAATAGAGAGCTTTCCATCTATAGAGTTTCTCCACACTTGTGAGTTTGAGTGATTGCGAGCTAGTCTGACTTAGCTATCTAACGAGACTTGAGTGCTAACTGCCGCACGGCCAAGAGCTGGTCCGTGACAAGTGGTATCAGAGCTAGGCCGTGACTCATCAAGTGAGAAAGAACCTCGAAGAGATGGCTAGATCTGAAAGCGAAGTTCTCAACGAGGAGCAACAACGCGGTCTTGAGCAAAAGAAGGACACAACCAAGACCAAGAGAGACATATCTACTTGTGAGCCCTTGGCTGCTTTCGAGGAGAGGCTCTCGAGGGCAAATGCAAAGGTTGCGGACCACATCACCATGTTAGAAGACATGGAGACGAACATCGACTAAGTTGACACGGAGGTGTAGACCTTGAAGGGCGACGTGCAAGGTGTGGTTGCTCGAATGACGGGTTTGGAGGTGGGGTTGGAAGCTTTTCGAAATGAGTTTCTACCCATCATTACCAACGCCATCGACCCTTTGAAAGAGACGGTTCGGGCAGAGGTGACCAACGTGAGGGAGGAGTTTGACAAGCTTCGAGGGAAGTTCAATCTCGTCAAGCGAGCGGTGGCTAACGGACCTGCCACGACGCAATTTACCCCACAAATGGATGTTCCAAGGCCAAAGAATTTTGGTGGGTCGAAGAACGCGAGGGAATTGGAGAATTTCCTCTAGATTCTTGAACAATATTTCAAGGCTTCGGGCATCAATGACAACGAGGTCATGGTGCGCACCGCCTCACTTTGCTTGGTCGATACGACCATGGTGTGGTGGAGGAGACGTCGAAAGAGGAACGTGTGAGATGAACACGTGGGACGATTTTCATAGAGAAATCAAGAAGCAATTTTATCCGGAGAATGTGGAAATGGAGGCTCGTGCGAAGCTATGACAACTCACCCACACCGGTAGAATTCATGAGTATGTCAAAGAATTCTCTGAATTGCTACTCGCAATCCCCGATTATCCGGACAAGGAGGCCTTGCTCGAGTTCTTGTACAACTTGCAACCATGGGCGAGGTTGGAGCTACAACGACGAGGTATGCAAGACCTTGCCTCAACAATGGCGATCTCCGAGTCCCTTGTCGAGTATCAGTGGCCGGAGGAGCAAGAGGCATTCGATAACAACGGTGGGAGCGACCGTGATGACTACTCCCACGAGGGCAAGAGGACACGCACACCAATGTGGTGACTCAAGCAAAGGGGGCAAGGGGAGAATGATTAATAAACCTATTTCTGGCTTCTTTGTGATGACCCACATCATGTAAGAGATTGTCCCAAGAGGAGTAAGTTAGTCGCGATGCTCGTGGAAGATAACTCGGAAGAGGAGGAGGCTCCAAGAGTGGAGGACCAAACTTTGAAATTGGGCGGCCTAAGGGTGTTAGACGCAATGAAGAGGAAGGAAGGTCTTCCTCCTGCCGAGGAGAAGGGGCGATGCTTTGTGGAAGCAAAGCTCAACAAGGGAAAGACAAAAGCGTTGGTGGACACCAGAGCAAGTGACAACTTCCTTGACGTGGATGAAGAGCGGAGGCTTTGCATCCCATACAAGAAGAGGAGAGGGTGGCTGAAGACGGTGAATTCGGAAGCCACACCATCGCATGGAGTGGCTTGGAAGGTGCGGATCACCCTTGGAGATTGGGTGAGTGAGGCGGACTTTCATGTAGTGTCGATGGATGGCTATCCAATCGTCATCGGCATGGACTTCATGGACAATAAGAGGGATTTTCCCTTCGAGAATGCGATGTTCATCTTTGGAGGAGAGAAAATAAGCAAGGTGCCACTATTAAGAGAGGCACACGGAGCTCTAAAGGCTTGCTCAGCAATGCAAGCCGCGACAAGAAAACATGGACCAAGATGGAACAAGCGATAAGCTCGAAGTCCCGACGGAAGAAGACAACGACGAAGAGAGAGCTATATCTTGGGGCCATGTGAGTCATGCATGAGGCAGGGCCATCCTTGGCTCGCCAGGGAGCACATCTTTTCCGCACCAACAATGTTGTTGATCCGAAGAAGGCACCACTACGAGGACGTCGTGAATTTGGTGAGGGAGAATGTCACAAGGAAGAATCTAGAAGATTCTAGAAGGGTGCAAGTACATGCATGCATCTCTAGATTCATGCTGCAATGTACATGCATCCTCCTTATCTATTATGATACATTCACCATATTTATTATGATTCATGTATGGGGGGACTTCTAGGTTCGTTCATTTATGACGCCTACATACATTGTACCTAGTGGAGAGGATGCCTATATAAGCATCCCTCTCCCTCACTTTTCATTCATCGAGAAATAGAGAGCTTTCCATCTATAGAGTTTCTCCACACTTGTGAGTTTGAGTGATTGCGACCTAGGCTGACTTAGCGCTCTAACGAGACTTGAGTGCTAAGTGTTGCACGACTAAGAGTTGGTCCGTGACACCGCCCGCAAGTGAGTGCAGTGGCGGATCCAGGGGGTGGCCACCCCGGGCTCCGGCGCAGCCCTCCTCTGGATTCGGAGCTAGAATAATGGTTTAGATGAACATATTCCAAACACTCTAAATTTAGCCTAGAAATTCCAGCTCCTAAGATTTTCGTCTAAAAAAACAATGAAACGTAAAATTCTATAAATCTAAACCGTAAAGAACTAAAAGAAATATGAGATTTGTTCCCTTAAAAATTACTTGAGTAGTTGGTGGATATAAGGATGAACACACAATGCAAATTGATTAGTTGATTGATTTGTCTAGTGTTGACGTTGTCTATTTCAACGACTACTACGAAGATAACATTTTCACCAATGAAACATATGAAAACTAATTTACGCAACAAAATGAACGATGGTTTCTCACCAATTGATTAATTATGTTATTTGAAACAGAGTATGTTATTGGTATGAATGTAGGATTCATTATTGTTGCATTCGCCAAATTAAAAGATCGTAATGTACAATTGACATTGTAAAACAAAAAAAACTAGGATCATATATATTTTTTATGGTATCTAATTTTGTAATGAACTGCGGCCTAGTGTTCTACTGTGTTCTGGATCCGCAACTGGGTGAGTGGGTCTTGGACTCATTCACAGAACCACAGCTCACTCACTCCCCCAAATTGGCTGCCCATTGGGCCGAATGAGAAGAAGGGAAAGGGTAGAGAGATCCCAGACCCAGAGGCTGCAGAACGAAAGATTCTGCAGGCGTGTTGAATATGGAGAATCTCCTCCTCCAACTCCAATGGCGCTTATTCCCTCTCCTAGGGCTCCTACTTTCATTCCTCTTCGTCTTACTCTCCCGCAGTTCCCCTAAGGCAAGTCAACCCCTTCTTCTAAGTTCTATCTCTTCACTCTCTTGTTTGTTTATGAAAATTTCCAAATCCGTTGACGAAGCGATTCGGTTTTCCATTTTGCAGGTATCTGATAGGAGTGAATGCAGTCTTCTTCCCCACAGCCATTACTGGATAGCCAGTAATCGCATCGTTACTACGCAGGGTGTCGTTTCTGGTGCAGGTTTGTGTTTAGCTTTTCGTATGCCATTTCTTAAGTATTTGAATTCGTTCTTCATATAATGGATTTCCCCTCTCAAACTGGAATCAGTTGAGGTGAAGGAAGGGAAAATTGCATCCGTTGTCAAGGGTGAGGATTGGAAAGGTGATTCAAGGACCAAGCAAATCATCGATTATGGCGACGCCGTTGTCATGCCTGGCTTGGTCGATGTGTAAGACGATATGCGATGCACAAATCTCCTACTTCCATTTTTTTTACTTGCAGACATGAGAATTTGGTCTTGATCCGGTAAAAAAAATGGCAGGCATGTTCATCTTGACGATCCCGGACGCACTGAATGGGAAGGATTCCCGTCAGGAACTAAATCAGCCGCCGCAGGTGAACAAACTATGCTGCTATTGTGTAACGTTTTATGGTCAGTTTTGGTAGATCCTCTTAAGTATTTAGTCTTCTGATTGTGGCAGGGGGTATTACAACATTGATTGATATGCCACTCAATAGTTTTCCATCAACTGTTTCTTCCGAGACTCTTAGGCTAAAGGTATCGTTATGATGATGATCCTGATCATTCTGTATTTTGATTCTGTGTGCTATTTCCCTTTCATCCTTACTAACCGTGTCAGCTTTTAAACTGGTGTTTTGTTTTCACATATTCATGTTTAGACAGAAGCAGCAACCGATAACATATATGTTGATGTGGGTATGCTCCTACAAACCCCCATTCTTGTACACCCTTTATTCTTTACGGACTTTCTGAGTGGTGATTGACGCTGATTGTGTTATATCAGGGTTTTGGGGAGGACTTGTTCCTGAGAATGCTTTTAATGCTACCTCTCTTGAAGCTCTTCTAAGTGCTGGTGCCCTTGGCCTCAAGGTATCACAACATTGGTTAATGCCATCTCTGAGAATAGCCTTGGAACAGTGCTTATTTCTATTTTGGATTTGATTCTGTTGTTCTCTTATTCTATATATGGGCTTCTTATGGTTTCCCAATGTTCTGTCTTTCGCAGTCATTCATGTGCCCTTCCGGGATTAATGATTTCCCCATGACAAATGCTAGTCACATAAAGGTTTTTCTCTCCAGCTAGTGGCATCCAGAGAATCAACTCAAGAGAGGATGAATGAATTTAAATTTTTGCCACCTTTAGCCTTGACCAATGTCTCTTGCTTAACCTTTTATCAGGCAGGACTAGCTGTACTTGCGAAATACAAAAGGCCTTTGCTTGTACATGCAGAGATGGAGCAAGATGCACAAGCGAATTACTTGGAAGATGGTATGAACAACGACCCTCGTTCATATTCAACGTACCTCAGGACTCGCCCACCATCCTGGTTAGTAAATCACGGGTTCATCTCAACTATTTTCTCCTAGAGCTAGACAGTTTTCTGCTGAAAATTATAAAGCCTGGTCGAAAATAAGTGAGTAATGAGCTAGTACCATTTCCTTGTCAATCTAGGGAGGAGGCAGCCATTCGAGAGCTCTTGACAGTGTCAGGGGACACGGCGCCTGGTGGTCCTGCAGAAGGAGCTCACCTTCACGTTGTTCATTTATCAGATGCTGCTTCTTCCTTGCAACTTCTAAAGGTATAAGCAACCTGAATAAATACATTTGCTTTTTCCTGAACTTGGTTCTTGAGCACATGATCTAATTACAGTGGTTTTTTTGTGACTTATGTAGGAAGCAAAAGGTAGCGGGCACAGTGTAACTGTAGAGACATGTCCACATTACCTAGCATTCTCTTCAGAGGAGATCGAGGATGGTGATACTCGTTTCAAATGCTCCCCACCCATCCGTGATGCTGCAAATAGAGAAATTCTCTGGAAGGCCGTTTTGGTAAATATTCGGATTGTATATCTTGCATTATTCATCTTTCTTTCACGCCATTATTTTTTCCATTTACGACATTATTGAGTATTCTTTCATTCAGGAAGGAGATATAGACATGCTGAGTTCTGATCATTCTCCATCTGTGCCGGAGCTTAAGCTCCGTGAAGAAGGTAACTTCTTGAAGGCTTGGGGCGGCATATCATCTCTGCAGTTTGTTCTTCCGGTGACATGGTCCCATGGACGGAAGTACGGAGTGAGTCTTGAACAAGTGGCGCTATGGTGGAGCGAAAGACCGGCCAAGCTTTCCGGACAAGAATCCAAGGTCACTAAACCTAGTAACCCCTTTTTTCGACACAAGACCATTTTAGAACTTTACTCCAATTCTTCAGAAACTTGAATATGCAAATGTATTTTCTTTCTGGCAGGGGAGCATTGCAGTTGGGAAACAGGCAGATATAGTTGTATGGGAACCGGATGTGGAATTTGTCCTCAACAAAGATCACCCCACGTACCTCAAACACCCAGTACGCCTTCTTCTTATCTTGATTTCGGATGATTAGCATTCATGCTGTTGCATATAAATCACAAATTTCGCTTCCTGTGTTGTATGGTTTTTTCTTGTTTTTACCAGAGCATCTCAGCGTACATGGGGACAAAATTGACGGGTAAGGTATTGGCAACGTTTGTGAGAGGAAACCTAGTGTATGAAGATGGGAAGCACGCTTCTGCTGCCTGTGGTGCTACTCTGCTCTCAAAAGTGCCCGCCGACTTGTAAATATATTGTCATTTTCAGACATGCTGGTACTGCTAGTAAGTGAATATTATTTAATAGGCTAATTCCACTACAAGACCAATACTATAAAAAAACTATGTAAAGTATTCAATATGACAATCCTAATGTATGAATGACAATTTGAATCCGGCTCGCTCTGTGTATCTACTTTCGGATTATATCCTACTCGCAGTAGCGTTTGGTGGGCATGGGTATCTACTTTCGACCCGCTCTGTCCCGTTCTTGGGCTATTATGTCTCAATTTCTTATAGTATATATTCATATTTCTCCTATTTTGACTTTTGTTCAACTAGTTAGACTTGATTTTTCAACTAGTTATACTCAATTACCCATTTTATGATCACTATTTTTCATTCATATAGTGTTTCCTCCTTTTTATAGGAAAAAGTACAATTTTGCATGATTTTTTTTTTTTCAAATAACATATAAGAGTGAGTCAATCTGTCACGACCCGCCACATTGCCATCCATTATCCTAATGTATGAGACTTTTGTGGCATTTGTGTCCTGACATTTTTGTTTACTGTTAGCAATAACGATGGACCATACGGTGGTCAAAGTAATGTTGACTTTTGCTTATGTGACAAAATGACTCGCACGAAACTACACCACAATTAAACCCCAATTAGAGCCTAAATTTTTAAACTCTAATCGGGTGCAGTATAGTATAGGGCAAGTATTTAGATATCTCGACCCAGGCCGGTCCGTCTACCCCTACTTCGATTGTTGAAATCATTATCTAGCGATAAACCTTTGGTTTAAGGGTTTGCTAATTGAAATGAAAGAAAGCAAAGGTAATTTGGTTTGAAAACTCTTTTGTGGGAAAGTCACTCGGGTTTCGCTTCCCCCTAACCGCTACCATGCTATGTGGATTGGAATGACTACCTCTTGTCCAGCCCATCTAGGCGCCAACATGAGGGGACTTGTTGAAGATTGTTGGAATTGTCGACCAAATGCACATGAAGAAGATGTTTAGAGAAGAAGCTCCAAGTCCATAGTTCAACAGAAAACAAAGTTGGATCGATTGTAAACAGTGAATAATGAACTTTCCATTGTAACTTTGTTTGTCCTGAATATGAATATCTAGAACCAAACAGCGAAAAAAGTCGAGGATTCCTTTCGCAATTTCTATTCATCCTCCTCAAGCCTTCTTTAAGACAACATGGTTGTTGTGAAATTGTGGTTATCACGTCAGTATTAAACTCTAAAGGTCTCTAGTTTGATCATAGGCAGCAACAAATTTTGTTTTTTTTTGTTCTAAACATGTTGATTTTCATTTTGCATATTGTGTTTTAATATTTTATTTATATATAAAATAGGAATTTTTTTTATATCCACACACAAATGCTAATCACAATGTCAGTGGTCCACTAGCCCACATAATGAAACTGTCATCACGCGCCTCCCGTTGCAGGTGAGTGGGACTTGGATGGATTCACAGAATCACAGCTCACTCACTCCCCCCATATTGCCTGCTCACAGGGCCGAATAAGGAGAGTAGAAGGCAAAGGGAAGGGGTAATACCTAGCTGCAACCTAGGTTGCCGCCTGCTCCTGCTACCCCTCCACATGCCATCTCCTCATTGGCTATTTTTTTTCATTTTCCAAAAACTTCAAAATCCCATTTAATTTTACAAACGCGGTTTATCAATTTCACGGCCACCATGCCCAGTACGCCGGCGAGGATTTTGACCGGACATAGCTTGGGGGATTGTTCGGCGATTCTTGCCGCATTCGATCCCATCGAAACACTCCGGTGACCGGCAATCGTGTACAACAGCCCGCAAAAAGGAGAGCATTAGACGAAAGTGTGAAATCCCTCGACAACCTGAAAATCCTTCACGTACAGAAGAAAACCGACCTTCTGATGCATTATCTCGGGCCACTACTAGGCTATGTGTCGACATTGGCGACAGATCTGGTTATCGACGCCATGGAAAATCATCCACATACGTATATGATAAACAATCAAATTAAATGGGATTTTGAAGTTTTTGGAAAATGAAAAAAAAAGATAGCCAATGAGGAGACGACATGTGGAGGGGTAGCAGGAGCAGGCGGCAACCTAGGTTGCAGCTAAGTATTACGCAAAGGGAAGAGAGATCCCAGAGGTTACACAGCCAAATACTTTCTCTACAAGCGTGTTGAATATGGAGAAGGAGCACATGGATGTCGGTGATGATTATGGATCGGAAGCACAACCAAGATACCCTATAACACATGGATGGTGATGATGATTTTGGATCGGAATCACAACCAAGATACCCTGATATAACACATGGATGGGGATGATGACTCTAGATCAGAATCACAACCAGTCTCGACGGAAGCTAAGGAGAAGAAGCACATGAGGAACGAATATCGGTGCCCGAGCATTGAGTTTACTAGATGATGCATTCCGCGAGAGTGAAGGATCGGAAGCAACCGCGATCGGCGAATCGGGCGGAGAAGCTGCCGATGGAAGCGACTGTGAACCTTAACCCAACTATTTCTCCTTCTACCATCTCCACCCCCAAATTGTAACCATCCTAGAAGTTTCGATGAACTTATAAGCTCAGATGAAACCCAGAAGCAGGAAAAAATAATCATATATGTTGGGAATAAATAGTTTTGAAAAATATAACCACCCTTTGTTCACGAAAGAGGGAAAAGAGAAGGAGGAGAAAAAATTGGGGAAAATTACAAGGATCAAATGTCCTTCCAATTTGTAGTGAAAATTAGCCTTATACTCATTGTGTCTCTTTTCCCATTCTTTCCCCTTCAAATATGAACACCATTTTCCCCACATTATTTCATTATCATCAAATCAATGACCAACGGGCATCATTTGGGATAACCATTTAACGGGAAAAAGATGAACTTCCGGAGAATTCTATTTATTCATTCGATGGAGACAGACAGATCTACCACCACTTTCTTATCCTATCTTCTCAATTGGAAGATCCTTATATAAATAATAGACATTCCAGTTAACTGAGCCTAATTCTAATTGTTTTGTTCCAAAGTAAAGATATCCGGGGGTGGTTCGTCCTATTCGGATATTCACGACTCAAAGGTATCGAATTTGCGAAAACAAGGGTTGAACCCGTAATGCACCAATGAGGGAAATAAAGCTTCATTAAATGAAAAAGACTGTAGTTAAGAATCCCTTTACAGCTATGTGCTTGGTACCAAGACGTTCATTTTTATCTAGAAGAGTAGATAGTGGAATGCTATTCCGAGAGATAAATTGAAGTTGCAAACGAAAAAAAGGCTAAACTTTGTAGTCCCAATTCCTGTAGAAATTTTCACTCTCTCTTAAATTTCTCTCCCTCTTTCATGAACAGAGGGTAAGTGGATTCTCAAATATTACATTGGTGGACATAACATTGCAAAAGGTATATAAGATTATGTTTCTCTCCTTAGAGCATACCTCTTGGAGCGACTCACTTTTGTGGGAGAGGAAGGACTTAAGGAACCTCCATACTCCACACACGCGTGCGCCATTCGCCTGACCAACCAATTAGTCGAGCAAGTGGGTGAGTCGGCTTAAAACTATAACTTTTAGGAAAAATTTTGAATTAATTATCCGATTCATTTTCTTATACAAAAACAGAAACATTATGAAGGATAATTAATACCAGAACACATTCTAATTGCAAATGTAATTAACATGAATTCCTCACAAAGAGGTTATATTCGGGGTTTTGGCTCTTATAAATAGACAACTCCCCATACCCTCTATATGATCAAGAGAGCATAAAACGAAGAGAGTGACATTTAGAGAGCTCTAATTTCTCACAAGCCGAGAGTGAACAAAGTGGCTGATTTATCCTAGAGGCAACTAGGTGATAATCTGTTGTGCGCAATACGAGGCAGTGCTAAGAACGTATGAGAGAGAGTACGTAATATGTGACTTGGATAGATTCGATAACCTAGTTTCCATTATTTGGTTTCTAACAATTTGAAGACGTTTTGTTGATGCTATGGTGACCAAACAGAACATCAGATATGGCACAAGCAATATCAATCACCCCTTTCGCTTCCATGAAGCCAACTTTCATCACTAGAAACAAAAGATATTGTCCTGACTGATGACCAAGAAACTGGTGAATTGCCTCATCGTGAGGCTGACATATTTGGGCGAAGAAGCGACCGCGGCAGAGAAGGTTGTCGATGAAGGTAAAATAGTATGACTTCCTGTGAAGAACTACATCCTCAACGATATGGATGATGATCTTTATGACTAGTGTGCGGATAAGAACAACATCGAGATGATGATTTGGGATGCTCTTTATGACATGTAGAAAGTACTCTTTTATACCCCATATTTTGACCAGAACATCATAGTTTCACGCTTTTATCGTCATGTATCTTGAATTTACTTCATGATCACTCAAAGTGCGTTCTAGTAGCACTATGCTTGCTTTTATTAGTTTGATGCACTCTCGATAGTGTTTCAATATGTTTTCGGGTTATAGCAAACTAGTGGACCTCTTTCTACGTGTTGGGAGACATCAAGACTCGAATGCTAAAAGCAGTACTAAGAATAAAGAAAGGACAAAAAACGACCAGTAGCCTAATGTCCAAAACAACACTCGGGCTGCTCTTTTAGAACTTGTCCAGAAATCAACCACATCCTTCAAAAATATGCTTTTCGTTGTGGCCAAGCTGGAGGAAGCTGATTGGGACTTGAAGACTTATTAAATGATTGTCCTATGTCCCAAAAACCCTAAGAGGAGACATTAGAGAGAAGTTATTATGCCGACAGAGTGACTCACCCGACTTAGAGTGAAACGAGCTACAAGGGCCAGATTCATGCGGGAATCAGTGACCTAGTCTATGAAAACTCTATTCTGGACGGTGGGAGGCGAATCAGAAGGCGAGGAAGATGGTGATGGAGGATCTGGGAGAAGGAGGAAGCGTTGGGGGAGAAGGAGGACCCGCCCCGGACCTTTGAGCACTAGGTGATGGAGCAGTCGAGGAAGCCAAAGGTGGAGGAAGCGTTGGGGGAGAAGGCGGCGACATAGAGGAAGGGATAAGAAGGTGGTGGTTTCTATATTTTTTTTAATTTTAAAATTATAAAAAAAATAAAAAATAATTATAATTGAGCTGACGCTGATGTGTCGGCTTAGCTGTAAATCTGTCCAACAAACCGTGAGCGTTAACCGGCTGTTAGCCATATTTTGACTCGCGATAATAGTTATGACTAATAATTTGTATTCCAATAGTTATGGCTTTAATTCTCTGGTGCTTAATAGTTCTGGCTAATATATTGTATTAACCCAAAATTCTACTACTTAGCTTAGTTTTAAAAGGTTCGTGGTAGTTGCTTAGTCAATATGGTGGAGAGTCCAATACATTTGTCCTGTTAAATATGGGTCTAAAACGTTTGTTTTCTCAAAATCCTAAGAGTAAGGCTTCTTATGGTGTTAGTTGGGCTCACATTAATTAGTCTTATATATAGGGCTCATCGATGCTCATTAATTTATGGGCTTAATTGCAAGTTTGGTCACTCGAATTGCTACAAAATTTCACGTTTGCCACTCAAATTAATTTATTCCATTTATAGTCACTTAAATTAGGTTAACAATCCAAGTTTGGTCATTGGCCGTTAGTCTCCGTTAACTTTTGCTTATGTGTCAGTCAACTCTAATAGTTGACCGTTAAATGTATGACGTGGCAATTAAAAAATAAAAAATAAAAAAATTTATAATTTCCACCTCATTATCATTATCACTATCATTTAAAATAAAAAATTATTTATTTTAATTTCCTAAATCTCACGAATTAACCTTACCTCTTTCTCACCATCGCTCGACCTAGATTTCTAGCCTTCAAATCCCTAATCCTAGGCCGCAACGAAGGGATGGCGGCAGGCAACGACATGAACTTCCGACTGGAAGTGGTGGTGATGGTGACCACCACCGGCGCCGACAGCGCCGCCGTCATAAGCGAGGACCAGCGCGTGTTCACCCTCCCCCATGATCCAATGCTGAGCAAGGACACTGCGCAGCCCCGAATCCCTCCTCCTCCGCCGTCACGATGTCACCGTTGCCTCCTCCTTACAACGCTTTGTCCACTTGCCCAATCCCTTCATCTCCACAAACACTTGGACCTCTTCCTCCGTACTCTCCCTCGTCACCCTCCACGACGAATAGTACTCCCTCCTAGATCTCCCTCAACAAAGTCAAACAGTAGTGGGAATTGGGTAAATTGTGAAGAAGATAAACAAGAGAGAGAAAGAGATTAAGAGAGGGACTAGCAGAACACATACCAATTCATTGCCACTGCAAGTAACAGAAACCATCATAGAAGACTCATCCTTGGAGCTGAAATCCCTACGCTTCTTTGAATTGCCGGCGGCGTCGGCGCCACGATGGTCCATCACCGAGGATTCCTTAGCGGACCCATATGGATGTCCAATTCCAAACCCAATTGCAGCAGCAGCGAAGGCTAAATTGCCCACTCGGAGGCCCAACCCACCAGCACCGGCTTCCACATTGATCCCCTAAAATGGCCAAATCTCAAAGCAAGGACATCTCGTTCACTTGGTTATCCATGGACGGATGGCGAGCGCGAAGGAAGAATCGTCCTCGATCGGGTTAGGTTGGTGATGTGGAGATGGTGGCGGATGCTAGCAGAGAAGATGGGCGGCGGGGAGGATGAAGGGGAGCTTTTCGGCGGACATGGCCTGGACCTCGAAGGTTCTTCATTTTGGGGGTTTTGGGGGAACGATGAAGATTTGCAGGTGGAGAAACGGATGGGGAATGTTATGGGAATAAAAAATATAATTATAATTTTTAGGTTTTTATTTATTTGATAATTTATTGTGGAAATGAGGTGGAATTTTTATTATTTTTTAATAGTTGAGGTGGAATTTTTAATTTTTTAATTGTCACGTCATGCATTTAACGGTCAACTATAAGAGTTGACCACCACATCAGCAAAAGTTAACGGAGACTAACGGCCAGTGACCAAACTTGGACTGTTAACCTAATTTAAGTGACTATAAATGGAATAAATTAATTTGAGTGACAAACCTGAAATTTTGTAGCAATTCGAGTGACCAAACTTGCAATTAAGCCTTAATTTATGCTATAACTGTGAGGATGTCTTTAAATTGTTAGTTGATTAATTGTTTAATAGTCATGTACTAATTAGCTAAATTTAACTTTCATAACCTGTTGTTTTTTTAACCAATCATCGATATAATCACTAACTACCAATTACCAATTGGATTATTGATTGCTCCGATTGAATAACCGTTTAACTATCCTCCTTTCCCCACGTTTTTCTTTTTAACCTTATTTTTCCATCTCCAAAACTGAAACCATCTAATCTAAACCAAAAAAGCAATAAATATCACAACTAGGGATGCCAATTTCGACCTGACCCATTTTACTCGACCTGTTTTGGGGCGGGGCGGGGATGAGTATTCTCATCGACCCGACCTGCCCTGACACGCTCCATTCTCAACCCGTTCTTGCCTAAATTACATGTAATTTTAGTCAAATTACTTGGGATTTTTCTTTTGTTACATAATAATATTATAGCTATTATAAAGTTGTAAATTAGCGAAAGGCTCAATTTTCCAATAATTTAACTACATTTTATCATATTATGATTTGTTTCTTAGTCTTAAAATGGAAATAATTTACAATAAAAATAATAAATATTTCTAATGCTTTTTATATAAATTACATATCCATTGAATCAACCTGTCCCGACCCGAATCCTATAATAATTTACCCGACCTGCCACGCGACAGGTATGGATATCGGAATACCCAACCTAGCCCTGGCCCGTTGAGTTCATGGTTGTCACGCCGGTCGGCGTGCCACTGGTTGTACCGGGTTCAACCGGTATCGGTCATAAAACCGGCGTGACACCACCGGTATGACCGGCATGATCGATATACGAATCTCTAAGTAAAATGACCTTATTTTAGTGAATGTAATTGATAAAAATTAGTTTATTATTTAATTTATTAGTATAAAAGTTAAATATTGATGTTATTTGTTGGATTCAAATATAAATGTTTAGGTATTGACGTTAAATGTCATGATTAAATATGAGTATTTACAATTTTATTTATAATATTGACCGGTATGAACCGGCACAAACCGGTATGTGCCACTGGTTGAACCATTTCACTTGCTAAACCGGCACACTGGCATAAACCGGTTTGACAACCTTGGTTGAGTTTATAACCCAGCCCGACCCGAATCACCGCAGGCACTTCCAACTTGAAATAAAAATCTTCTCCTCTCGTCACCGCCTCTTTTTCTTCATTCTCGTTTCTCATCTTTTCTCTTCTCTCACTAAAAACAAAAGAGAACCCGGACCTCCAAATCTCAAGAGAGACTCTCCTGTTCTTTGATTACCTATTCGACTTGGTTTATGAGGTAAAAATCCCATCTTTTCCCGATTCCTTTCCCTCGTATTTGATCTCAAAGACGAGATCTTTTTTGCGGCATCTGCAATCTCCCTGCTCAATCCTTTCTTGCCTTTCGTTCCGGATCTGTTTCTGTTTGCTTTGATCGCTTTTGGAACAACGTCCTTCTTGCTTGATTTACGGGAAGTACTATTGAACAGTTTTCTAGCTTAAGATTTGGTTCATTAGTGCTGTCCTGATTATTAGGGTTTTTAATTTAGTGGCTGCTCTCTGTGTGTGTCTGCAAGTTTGTACCTTGCTGTTGTTTGTTTGTCCTTCTATATATTTGTATCCCTTCCATTGATTAGTTTGATTATTTATTCCTCCCAAATGTGAGTAGCACCCGTAGTTTCATATTCGGAGCTAGGATCAGTGTCCTTTTTAATAGTTAGGCGTACTGGCTTCTCTTTCTGATGTTCTTGTGTGATTGGGTTGTCTGATCTTGGTAGTAAATTTCCTGGATTTTATGATGCAGCATCTTTCCCCCCCTTTACTGGTTACATAATTGACTGCAACTGATCCTTTTGCTGTTTGTTTGCTCTTGCAGCTCGAAGGAGAAACCCACTCTTGGGTAAGCTCTATTTTCTTTTGAATTCTCTTGTGAATTTACCTAGCTGAATTTCGATTGGTAACCTTGCTAAAAGGTTTTTTTGTTTATGGATCTTTTGAAGCTATGTGTGACTAGTCACTGTTCATACTGTTGGATGCTGTTTTTCTGTTAAGCTGCATGATTGGCCCAGTTCATTGAAACCCTTTATGTGTGTTTGCAGTGGCACGCGGATTAAGACCCGCAAACGGAATATTGCAGCGTCGCTGGACCCTGCAGCATTTTCGGATGCAGTGGTCCAGATATATCTGGAAAATGCTGGTGATTTGGTATGTACCTCATGGTTTCTGTACAGTGATTTATGTTGTATCAAATGCCTTTGGTGCAAATGTTTGATTCTTATTACGATAACCTTGTTCCAGGAACTTGTTGCTAAGAGCATTGAATCTTCAGAGCTGAATTTCTCAAGATACGGTGACACCTTTTTCGAGGCAAGTACTTTCATCTGTCATAAATAGAAGTTGTCAATAAACAGCAGATTCCCTGATCTGATTGATCAATTTAATCATTGGATCTTTGCAGGTTGTTTTCACAGGAGGCCGTACTCAACCTGGCACAACAAAACCTGATGAGGGTGAGCGACATCCTTACTCGTTTCTAGATTGCGAGCCTAAGCGGGAGGCTGTTCTACCTTCTGTGATTTACGTACAGAAGGTTTTACGCCGGAGACCATTTCTCATAAAGAACCTTGAAAATGTTATGCGGAGGTTCCTTCAATCGCTGGAACTCTGTGAAGAAGATGAAAGAAAGAAGCTGGCAATTTTCTCCGCACTTGCATTCTCCCAGAAACTATCTGGACTTCCACCAGAGACTGTCTTGCAACCCCTGCTCAAGGATAATCTTGTGGCCAAAGGGATAGTCCTTGCATTTATAACTGACTTCTTTAAGGAATATCTGCTAGACAACAGTCTTGATGACCTGATATCCATCTTGAAGAGGGCTAAAATGGAAGACAATCTTCTAGAATTTTTCCCTTCTTCAAAGCGAACTGCTGAAGCTTTTTCTGAGCATTTCACGTAAGTTATATACTCTTATTTCCATTCCTTTTCAGCCCCTACCCTCTCGTAACACACGGGGGCAACTAATGTGTTGAATAATTATCATTGCTGTGATGTGTGGCATCTGATCAGTGCTGTTTTGTTGCCGACTTAGTCCTTGCTGGAAGTTGTTTATATTGATGATTCTTGTTTTTTCCTTCAGCAAGGAAGGGCTGCTTCAGCTAGTTGAGTACAACGAGAAGAAAATATTTGAGGAAAAGCTGAAAGAGATGAAGTCTGCTTTGACAACTTTGATAGCCGAGGAGGCTGATCAATCAGAGGTCCTGGATGTTGTGAAACAACGTGTTGCTGATGCTAAATTACCTGAAATTGAAGTTGTTCGAATTCTGTGGGATGTGCTGATGGATGCTGTTCAATGGTCTGGGAAGAACCAGCAGCAGAATGCTAATGCTGCACTGCGCCAGGTACATTACTTATGTTTCATTGGTTTGTAAGTGCTACGCAAATTCTGGTTTGTCAAGAGTAGATTTGGTTACAGTGTATGTATCCACTGGTTTCTGTCTTGCTGTCTTTGAACATTGCACAAGTTTTCCTGTGTATGTGTTGTTTTTTTCTTATCTTATATTGCAATGCTATAGCACCATCATGAAAATGAGAGGAACTTGGGGAGAGAATGCACTTATTTGTTTCTAACAGTTGTGCATATGATTGGAGGTTAGAACTTGCGACTGCTTCATTTTACCACCAAATGGATATCAAAGCTTCTTTTCCAAAGCTGCTACAACGTTTGTTGGCAGGAACTTGAACCATTTGACTTTTTCCCTTGTAATGGAGATGATTCTTTTCTGTTGCAGGTGAGAACTTGGGCAAACCTGTTGAACACCTACTGCACAAGTGGGAAACTCGAGCTGGAACTCCTGTACAAGGTGCAGATGCAGTGCTACGAGGATGCTAAGCTCATGAAATTGTTTCCCGACATAGTTAGGGCTCTCTATGACCAGGATGTGCTTGCTGAAGACACCATTCTTCATTGGTTCCGTAAAGGAACGAACCCAAAGGGCAGGTAAAAAAAAATGCTTAGATATAATCTCCGTCCCATGTTTCCTGCGCCTAGGTAGATGTTTTCATGTGAAGTAATTTGTGGATGTTGTTTGTGCAGGCAAACCTTTGTGAAGTCCCTAGAGCCGTTTGTGAATTGGCTGGAAGAGGCCGAGGAAGAGGAATAAGTCGCTCTGACAGCGACCAAAGCAGCAGCAGCAGTGGCCGGCAGCTGTTTGTATAAGAAGTGCGAGATAATGCTGTTTGCTTATTTGTAATTTTTTCTTGGCTTTCTGTTTCAGAGTTGGATATTGGGTGTACCCTTTTCAAACATAACGGTAAACGGTTACGGTGATGATGAATGAATGATGCTGTATTGCTTTTCGTCAGAGGGGTTGCATCAAATTTCCTAATAGTCTCTGCTGACCTTCAGTGAACATTTTTACCCACGCCAGCCCGGGCCACCACTTGACTAAACAGTCAAATCCCTTCAAAAGTTAGAACACGAGTGAATCAAATGACACACCAATGTATGCACTTAGAAAAAAGTCTGTCACAGTTGTTTTGATGATAGATTGGTTGGGATAGTTACAATGCATTGAGTCATTTGCTTTTGGTGATATTTAAGTCATCAATTTTCACCCAAAAAAAAGTCCATCAATACATGCATAATATACAATATGTATATAGAAAATCCTCTATAAATGAAACATATCTGGATTCCCATCCCAATTTTCATACAAGAAGGCACATATTTGCAAGTAGGATAGAAGTGGGATATGAAGACCAAGATGAATAGTGCCCTTAAGATACCAAAGTAAGCGCTTAAGAGTAGTCCAGTGAGTGGCTGTAGATTTTTGCATGAATTGAGATAGTCAGATTGACAGCATGACTAACATTCGGACGAGTGAGAGTAAGATACTGAAGTGGGTCAATGATTTTGCGGTAGGGAGAGCCATTGGTTGACGTCGCACGATCAGAACATAAAGGACTTGCACAGTGGATAGCGGGGTGGTGGAAGGCTTAGCATCAACCATATTAACTTTATCCAACAAGTCATGGAGATACATCAGTTGAGATATATAAGAAGCCATCTCGGACAGCGCGAATAAACTCACCACCCACGAAATAATGCAAGTAACCCAAATCCTTGAAAGAAAACTGTTATGTGTAGTTATTTACTTTTTAATTAATTAATTATGGGTTGTTAGAGGTAGGATTATGACGTGATTAGTGGGTTAGTGGTTAACTAGAATTTAGGGACTTTAGCTTAAAGATAGGCGTTTTATGTTCAGTTCACTAGTTGTAGGATTATTAGAGTTTTCATTCTCTATTTAAAGTAAGAGATGGGTAGAGAAAGGGGAATCAATGAAGAATAATCAGAAAAGGGTTTTACACATGGTAAAGGAAACCGTACCAGACATCATACCGGATTACTTTCTGGTAGGGTATTTTGTGGTACAACCGTGGTTCAACCGTTTCGTACCGGTAAATACCGTTTTTGTAATAATAAAATATATTTTTTGTCAAAAAACCGTGTCGGCAAAATCAGAGTATCGTCTCGGAGTAATACCGGATGTATCGGGATATACCGGACAATAAATGAAAAAAATACAAGTAGTTAGCAAATTAATAGAAAAAAAGAAGAAATTTTAAACAATAATTATTGTTTATATGTTTATAAAAAACTTTCCAATCATTTAAATATTTAACAAAATGAAGGTGGCAAGGGGTAATTATGCAGAAACAAGTGGGTCATTTGGTTATTTTCTTAAATTCAATATAAGGATAGTGAGAGGGTGAGCAGGGAAACCCTAGCCGCCTCTTGGGTCTTCACCAGTTCACCTCGTTCTCTTCTAGTCTTCTTCCTCTCTCATTCTGCAACTGCAAGAAAAAAATACAAAGAAACAAAAGCCCAGACCTTCCATCTTTTATCCCTTTTTTTGTGCATGTCTAACAAAAACGACGGAGGAAGAATAGAACATTCTTCTCCTTCTCCTTCCTTGCTCGATTTGCTCTTCCCCTACCTTTCTTCTGCCTCTTCTCTCGATTTACTCCGCCAACTTACATCGTCGATGAGAATTGAGAAATAGAACCAGATCCACCAAACCGACCATAAAAGCATCGATCTATGTTCATCTCCTTCCTCCCTCTTCCTCTATTGATTTACTCATCCCTGTCTCCAAGAAATCGAATCAGGCCCTTGTGAGCCAAGGACCATACCGCGGCGTTTCAAAACTGGCTATTTTTTTCTCAATATGCTTCACTGACCAGTCAGACCAATACCGGCCGGTATTTCGCGGTTTGACGGTTTGACAACAAAAACCGGCCGGTGTGGTATTTTGGACACTGTGACTCTACCGTTTCGGCCAGGCTCCGGTTTCTGGTATATCGGGTTCGACCGGACGGCACGGCACGGTTTCCTGTACCATGGTTTTACACACCTACGTGTTAATTTAGGAGGTTGGCTTTCCTCGAAAAGCTTAGGGGTTCCGTTCTCGCCATTAAGGAGAACACTTCTCTTCTACCATTCTTGTCATGTGTAGTTATTTACTTTTTAATTAATTAATTATGGGTTGTTAGAGGTAGGATTATGACGTGATTAGTGGGTTAGTGGTTAACTAGAATTTAGGGACTTTAGCTTAAAGATAGGCGTTTTACATTCAGTTCACTAGTTGTAGGATTATTAGAGTTTTCATTCTCTATTTAAAGTAGGAGATGGGTAGAGAAAGGGGAATCAATGAAGAATAATCAGAAAAGGGTTTTACACACCTACGTGTTAATTTAGGAGGTTGGCTTTCCTCGAAAAAGCTTAGGGGTTCCGTTCTCGCCATTAAGGAGAACACTTCTCTTCTACCATTCTATCAATCTTCCTCCATTCTTATTCTTCATATCCCGATCTTTCACCATAAATTCTATTCTCCGAAAAGGGCACGTAACAAAAACTGAGTAGACAATGGTGAAGTGAACTGATAAATTGGAGCATAAGAGTATAGAGCCGAAACTGAGGACCATGAAAGATGAAGAGAGATGTATCCGCTACAGACGTGACAAAACCACAATGAAGAAGGAACTGACGCAAGGTTTGGATGTTACAGAAATAAGAGGGGTTGCCAGAGTGCACAAAACCTGGATGTTACAAACCAAAGCGGCGTCGGTTTGGTGTTATAAAATTACAAAAAAACTTAAAAATAAGAATTTGTGAAGGGGTGATATCGAGCTCAAGCAGTGAAGCATCTCCAGAATTTCAAATCCCTAATCCTTAGAGAAAATATTAATATTTTAATTTAAATACGCTGACCGGGCGATGACGTGGAGGGTTGACCGTTTGTCAACGGCCTTGACCATCAAACATAACAATTAACTTTCGAGTTTGGCCAATTAAGTAAAGTTTAGGGTTAGTTCAGACCACGATATTATATGTTGAAAAGATTGATCGGGATGTTAAAGATGAGAAAAGTTGGGGTCGGACAAATATATTAACCCTATTTCCAACTAAGCTTTTAATTGGGGAAATATAGATGACAAATCATATTTATTGTTTGAGAGGATATAACCAAACATATTTGGTGCAAGCAATGATCAACAAAAATCACATAATAGAGAAAACAATCCATAGACGAAACATGATTAGGGCTCCTGTTTGGGCCTAGAATGTACTAGGCAGTCATGAGGCACCGATTTGGAATCTCTCGTCGGATCTCCTCGAGAGTGGAAGAACCTGTGAGGCGGGGGGCGGCCCCCGGGATCTACGCTCCGACACCCAAGTTAGTACGATATAGGAAAGGTATAGGGTGTTTAGAGAGATAGAGGAGAGAGAGAGAGAGAGAGAGAGAGAGAGAGAGACCTTAGGAGCAAGTGATGAAGGGAAGAAGAAGCTCCCTCGGTTTGGAGGCATGAATCTCCTTTTATAGGAGTCTTGGGCTTCCTTTCGTGGGCTTAAGCCCTATAAGATGTGTGAGGTGATGGGCTTGGGGCTGTTGATGACGTAGTTGTTTGTCGTATTAGGCGGATTAATACCACACCCAACAATTGCCCCTTTACTTCTTGTATTCTGTAAGAATGGAAGGAGTAAAATAATATCTTAAACCGTATTAATTTGCCTTACTTTTTAGACTGGATGATGCATTTGCCCTTTGAGCCTGTCGAGAGGTGTTGTGCTTCTGAGTGTGGTTGATGTGTTTTGCCACCTTGTACGAGTTGCGTGACATTATCCTTGCCCCTTGCTTAGATTTCGATGACTTGAGTTAGAGCTCTCAAATCGTTTGATATTTGCCCCACTAGCCCATTGTTGTTAACTATGTGCTGGGGGGGGGGGGGTGGCCCCCGTGACTTGGGAGCTGTAATTCATGACATTCCCGGGGGCGGGAGATGTGGGGTTTTTAGACTGGTCCGGAGTTCTGTCTTCCAGCTTGTGTGGATGCGTTTCTCTTAGCCTATCGGAAGGCGTTTAAGCTTTTGAGCCTGTTGGTAGGCGTTTCTCCTCTGAGCCTATCGGGAGGCGTTTAAGCTTTGAACATGTCGGAAGGCTTTTACGTTTAACATGTTGAGAAGCGTGTTTCCTCTTAGCCAGTCGGAAGGCGTTTCTCCTCCGAGCCTGCCGGGAGGCGTTTATGCCTGTGGGAGGGCGTTTCTCCTCTAAGCCTATCGGAAGGCGGTTCTTCTCTGAGCCTATCGGAAGGCAGTTCTCCTCTGAACCTGTTAGGAGGCGTTTATGCCTGTTAGAAGGCGTTTCACCTCTGAGCCTGTCGGAAGGCGGTTCTCCTCTGAGCCTTTCGGGAGGCGTTTATGCTTGTGGGAGGGCGTTTCTCCTCTGAGCCTATCGGGAGGCTTTTAAGTTTTGAGCCTGTCGGGAGGCGTTTAAGCTTTGAGCCTGTCGGGAGGCGTTTATCCCTGTCAGAAGACATTGCTCCTCTGAGCCTTTCGGAAGGCGGTTCTCCTATAAGCCTGTCGGGAGGCGTTTATGCTTGTGGGAGGGCGTTTCTCCTCTGAGCCTATCGGGAGGCGTTTAAGCTTAGAGCCTGTCGAGAGGCGTTTATGCCTGTCGGAAGGCATTGCTCCTCTGAGCCTGTCGGAAGGCGGTTCTCCTCTGAGCCTGTCGGGAGGCGTTAATGCCTGTTGGAGGGCGTTTCTCCTCTGAGCCTATCGGGAGGCGTTTAAGCTTTGAGCATGTCGGGAGGCGTTTATGCCTGTTGGAAGGGGTTTCTCCTCTGAGCCTATCGGAAGGCGTTTAAGCTTTGAGCCTATCGGGAGGCATTTATGCCTGTCGGAAGGCGTTTCTCCTCTGAGCCTATCGGAAGGCGATTAAGCTTTGAATATGTCGGGAGGCGTTTATGCCTGTCGGAAGGCGTTGCTCCTCTGAGCCTGTCGGGAGGCGTTTATGCCTGTGTGCCGATGACCCGCCTGTGAAAAGAGGGATCTGGCTTACCTCCGTATCGATGACCCGCCTGTGAAAAGCGAGATTGGGCTTTACCTCCGTACCGATGACCCATCTGTGAAAAGCGGGATCGGGTTTTACCTCCATACCGATGACCCTCCTGTGACAAGCGGTAGAAAGCTCTAGATGTCTTCTTTTGCTTCTTTCTC